GTGTTTTGGCCATGGAGTTTATCTGTGCTGGGTGGTGTGGGATTAGGTGTTGAGGTAGCAGTTGGTGTGTGTTTTCTTCTGGTATATGGTGTGTCCTAGTGTGCCCTCTGTTTTTTTTGTAGATTAGTACATCTAGGAATGGTAGTTGTTTGTTTGTTTCTGTTTCCATGGTGAACTTGATTTTGGGGTGTGTACTGTTTAGGTGTGTTAGGAAATTGTTTAGGTTTTCTTTTCCATGGGGCCAAATCACAAATGTGTCATCGATGTATCTTAACCATAGTTTGGGTTTGTGGGTGGCATTAGCAAGGGCTCTGGATTCGAATTCTTCCATGAACAGGTTTGCAATGACGGGTGACAGTGGTGATCCCATAGGGGCTCCTTCAATTTGCTTGTATCTTTGTCCTTTGTATATGAAATATGTGTTGGTTAAGCATTGTTCTGCTAGTTCCATGAGGTGTTTAGCTGGTTGGTATTTATTTTTGATGATTTCAAGAGTTTCTTTTATCGGGACTTGAGTGAATAGTGAAACCACATCGAAACTTACAAGCAGATCTTCTTGTTCCACGTGTAGATCTTTGATCATTTCCAAGAAGTGGTATGAGTTTTGTACATGTGAAGCTGCTGTTTCAGCCTGGGGCTGTAGCTGTTTTGCTAAGTGTTTAGCTAGGTTTTGTAGTGGTGCTCCTCTGGAGCTGACTGTGGGTCTGAGAGGTATGCCTTCTTTGTGTATTTTTGGGAGGCCGTATAGTTTGGGGCATCTGGAAGATTTTTCTCTTGGGATGATTGTCTGTTGGATCTCTTTGCTCATGTGGCTGGTTATAATTTTCTTCTTGGTTAATTTTTCCAGATATATGATTGGGTCCATGTTTATGGGTTTGTATGTGGAGTCTTGGAGTAGGTCTGCCAATTTTGTTTCGTAGTCTTTTCTATCCATTACTACTGCGGCATTACCTTTGTCTGCTGCAAGTATGATTATGCTGCTGTCGTTTTTTAGGGCTTGCAGGGCTTTTAGTTCCACTTTGTGCAGGTTGCTTTTGGCAGATGAGATTCTGTCAAAATGTTGCTACAACTTTAAAAGCACAACTATAATGATGTGGGAAAATACCCGAACAAAGCTGAATACCATATATATTTCCCGTGTAAGATTAAGAGTATCTTGGCGATGTTTCGGCGAGGTCCCACTCGCCATCCTCAGGCTGGTGCTTTCGGCTTTGTGCCAGTGCAATGATGTGGGAAAATACCCGAACAAAGCCGAATACCATACATACATACATACATATATTTTTTTTTCTTAAGTTTTTGTGGGTACTTACATGTATGGTATTCGGCTTTGTTCGGGTATTTTCCCACGTCATTATAGTTGTGCTTTTAAAGTTGTAGTAAAGTTGTAGTAAAGTAAACTTTAAAAGCACAACTATAATGACGTGGGAAAATACCCGAACAAAGCCGAATACCATACATACATACATATGCATGTATGTATGTATGTGTATGTGTATATGTATATGTATATAAGCACATTTCAAAATAACCACATTATTCTACCCAACTCTCTTTCATACATAGATCCCTCTATACAGTCCTGAGCAGATTGCTGGAAGCATGTAGGCACAAGGGGACTTTCCCTTCCTTGCCAGCTGCTTGGAAACCACCAACATCCTGCAAAATTGTTGCTTCCTTTTGCAACAAGTAAACAGAATCCTCTTATTTATTACCAAGCTGAGCCCAAGCACCTGGATGTAAAGTGACACAGTGCTACCAAAGTTGTTGCAGGAACATAAGCTGTGAAAGACATCAGTACAGTGGAGAACACAAGGAGATCCTTGCTGCTAGTGCATGTGGTAAGATGTTATCTGCTTATATGCTTCTTTGACAACAGTAATGGTTTCTGGACCAAAAAGAGTTCCTAAAACATTGACAAGTGAAATTGGAACAGATTTAACGGTTCACTACTGTCCAGCATGCTAACATGCCCATGAAAAAGTAACTCCAATTAAAGTTAGAGAAGCTTATTTAGGATATGTCCAAGATTGAACATTGCCTAGGATTGCCAAGATAGTCTCAAGTTTGTAGTTTAGGGCAGCTGGGACCCTGGGAGTTACATTTGGATTTGTCATGGATGGTTCTAACCGCAAGCAGTAGCACTATCATTCTAATTTCCAAATAAATTATTTATTTGCTATTTTACAAATCATTAACTTTTATTTCTATTGTTGCTGGCGGAAGAATGGCTGCTGAGAGGACATCACTATGTGCTCTCCTACTCCGACATGGCTTCTTTTAAAGTGCCACATAATCATGGGGCCTTGTACAGTACTTAAAAATCATTGTCACCACCCAGCATTTAAGCAAGTTATCTTCTCCAGTGCAGGAGGAAGAGGAGGAGGAGGGGGAGGAGGAGAAGAAGAAGGGGAGGAGGAGGAGAAGGAGGAAGAAGGAAGAAGGAAGAAGGAAGAAGGAAGAAGGAAGAAGGAAGAAGGAAGAAGAAGAAGAAGAAGAAGAAGAAGAAGAAGAAGAAGAAGAAGAAGAAGAAGAAGAAGAAGAAGAAGAAGAAGAAG